GTGGGGGGGGGGCGGATCATGCAAAAAAGCACAATCTTATAGTCATTTTCGCGTTTTTGTACACGTCTACTGAAAAAAGTGGGGGCTGCAGCCCCCCTTAATCCCCGGGCTCCGCGGCCCCTGCCATTCGATAACTTTAGTAATGTTTGTCAGATAATCCCCTTGCGGAGGAAATCTGAGGGGAAAATAGTAACGCTACTGTCCGTCTTTCCGTCCGCCTGTAACAAATCTTGTGAACACGTTACTGGTTTCCGTTGATAATTTAAAATGTTTGACAGATTTTCATGAAATTTGATATGAAGGTACATGCATGGTATCAAAAACAGCCTAAATTTGATTTTGGAATAATGTACATTAGGTCAAAGGTCAAATGTCTTGGGTTTCCGTAAAGTAGTAAACTTTCTTTTCATTCAATCCCCAGATGTCAGTAACTTAATTCCGTCTAATGGACGTACATGTAACTTGTTCTGATGTATTATGCCGTTTGTTTCCAGCGAGGGCTTGCTACGCTTTGCGTTGTCCTTGTGTTGTATTTTTTGTTCTGATGTGATGTGGCAGAGAGTGTTTTTTATACAAGTACTTTTTTTTTCTAAATGGCCAATGTTGGTTAAACATGGAACTTACATGTAGGAAGTATACCTAACAAACTGAAAGTTTCCCCACTAAGTCATACATACATGGTCACATTGCCAATGGAGGGTCTCCATACTTGTATATACTTTTAAAAACTCATATTTGTTTGATTTTTCTACATTCATCCAAACCAATTTCTATGAAAGATTCAATTTCCCTTTAAGCTTTAGCTGACATTAACCATCTTAGATTAGATTAGATTTTTTAAAGAGATATTTAAAAGAGGATTAACCTAGCTAGACTATGTACTGGGCGACATTCAAAGTTAGTCTTATACCTTTGACATAGCGATTGACAATGTATTTCTGTAAATCAGCATATTGTATTATGAAAGTTTATGAATTCTTGAAAGAAAGAAAGTATTCTGAATTCTCAACAAAAACCAAACAAAATAAAAAAGTCTCCAAAAAAAATTTTCTTCAGAATTTCAGGATTCTCAAAAAACAAAAAAAACAAACACATCTAGAATTCTCTAAAGAATGTTTTTTTAATTCCCTTTTTGGAGAAATCTGAAATTCATGAATGGGAGGGGGGTTTGTATTTAGGAGTCTATTTACTATAAAAATAGTGAATGTTCTATCATGTACACTATAAATACTGGACTATGAACTCCAAATACTAAATTATCCCTCGTGCAGGTTTATTTTGACTCAGGATAATTTAGTAATTTAGTCGGACATATAATTCATTATTGTATGATAGAGTATACACTATTTATATATAGTTCACGACTTACTTATGCAGATGGTCCTTACAAGGGTGCTATAGGTTATACTGGCTTTAAACGGGACAGAAACAGAACTGTATAATAATTGAGTCCTGAAATCGTACCGGTGGTACTCGAAACTGTCCAGGCTCCTAACCTAGAATGCAGCATCCTGATAATGTAGTCTTATAATATATGCACACTTAAATGATTACAAATTTTTCCTCTATTCTTTATGACATTCATACCACAAATATGTTACCAAACTTGTAACAAATTAGTACAATGCCCTTCCATACATTCCTGTTTTCCATTATAAATCCAATTATACAGGTATATTTATACTGAAATGTACAATGTATTGTAAAGAGGTATCAAGACTAGCTTTATGCCATATTACTGGACTACCCACCTAGTGCTAGCCAACCTGAGAGGATGGTGCACCATTAAAAGTTTCAATCACTGATGACATGGAATATCTCATATTGGCAACGCAGTCACTTTTTGTGATGTCATACAAGGAGAACTCTCCCACATGTACAAAAATATGTGAATTTCATTTTTTTCCTCAGTCAATTCATAGAACAGAATTTTTGTCCAAGTCCTCCTATAAAAGAGGTGATTTTAGTGCAATATCTGCAAAAGAAATTGGAAAGTTTTTCATGTATGATCTCCATATTAAACATTAGTAATCATAACTTTTTTTTAAATTCACGTCTTTACTCATTAATTGACTGTTTTTGCTTCAACTTAATTTCACTGACATTTATGTTACTTTAATTTTTCTGCATTCTTACAATTCAATTGTCTCTGAGGAGTTTATTCTCCTTTATAACGAGGGCAGAATCTAAACTCTACCGCAGTGCAAACTGTTGAAAGTTATACATCCCATACTTGTATCGCAATTGTATTAATGAAAATTCATCTAATTAATGAGAGTGCAAAATATAGGTTGTTTCTCTAAACATAGAGGTATATAGTCTGTACTGTTTGTACATTTCGGAGGAAATCGACTTACTAAAAGTTTCTGAATGTCCTGTGCATGCACATTTGTTGTATGTTACATGACACGATCATCAGGCAGACTACAACTTCACTCTTGATTTCTCAAGGGGAATTGTAATTTGTATATTATGCAAAACATATCTACCCTAGCTACATGTACATGTACAACAAAGAAAATGAGTAAAAATTGGCATTCAAGGAAAAAGGGATCTTTTTTTGCATGTTCCCCCCCCGCCAAAAGAAGTTTGAAGGGGTATACATGTACATAGGAATTGGCGTACGGTCGGGTTGTCGGGCGGTCAGTCGGTCAGTCTGTTGCAAATCTTGTGGATCGAACTACTTCCTCATTTTTTGAGCAATGATCATGAAACTTGGCACACATATTGGTCTTAGGATGGAGATGTGCAAGACATACTTTTTACTGTGTTGGATACTGCGTTGCCATGGGAACGGCATATTATTGTAATATATCGGGGAAAATCTCGTGGATCGAACTATATACATGTATACTTCCTCATTTTTTTGAGCAATGCTCATGAAACTCGGCACACATATTGGTCTCCAGTTGATTATGTACAAGACATTTTTTTTAATGTGTCGGAAAGTGCGTTGCATTGGTAATGGTCTGTTATTGCAATAAATCTGTAAAATCTTGCAGATCAAACCACTTCTTCATTTTTCGAGCAATGCTCATTAAATTTCGCACAAATATTGGTCTTGAGTTGATTATGTGCAAGACACATTTTTTAATGTGTCGGAAAGTGTGTTGCCATGGTAATGGTCTATTATTGCAATAAATCTGTAAAATCTTGTATATATCAAACCACTTCTTCATTTTCGTGCACACACATGGGGAGTGAGTATTAATCACTTTCGGTGATATTTCTAGTTCTAGGCAAACATGTAGAACATTCAACTGTATCCCTTATAATCTTTGTGTGAGGTTGTCAAAGCAAAATGAATATAATTTCATTAAGCAGCTTATATTAATGCCTGTATTTGTCCGATTTACTTTCTTCCCAGGTCTGTTTTAGTAATGGTCTTTCTACACAGGCAAAGTTTTGCCAAATGAGTGTCACAAACATGGCAAAGACTTTGAAAAAAACGGAGAACAGCCTGACCGATGTTTTGTCAGTGATGGCGATCGTTAATGACGACATGATCTATTCATTTCCGTCATCAGAGGAAGAACTCCTTCCTTCTCAATCTTACACACAATCGAGGCAAAAACGTAGCAGTTCTGGATCTAGCAGCGACGGAACTCCACCAGAACGTAAGAGACGAAACAAGACTTCTGAACATTCGGCGGAGAATTCAGATGCAGCAATTGAACAAAAATGTCAAGGTTAGTTTGTGTTCCATTCTTTTACAAAATTCATTTCACTAATAATTCCAGACGTACAACATTTCTCTCTACATGATATCACTAAGTTTAAATGTGATATGTTATTGATTGGCAGTTTTTAAATCAAAGAGAAATGCAAATATCATGGAGAGAATGTGTACAAAATAGTTTATCAATATAACAGCACTGAAAGCCTGATAAAATTGGGACATTCCACTTTTATTATTTGATTTTGTATAACTTCAAACAATTTTTAAATGGACTCCTATACAAATACCACAAATATTTCCATTTTTTTCATCAAAACTACAATCTCCTTTTTCTTATTGTTTATGAAGTAATGTTTGGGGCCAAATTGATTATTTAATGCCCCTCTGCAATAGCCACAGGGAAGGTAAAATGGCCAACTGCTGATTAAAACCAAAATAAAGTTGAAAAATGATTAATTGCCAATTCCCCAAAACAATGTTCATATGTTGCATTTTCCACATAAGGCAAAATGAGATTGAATTGAAAAGGGCTATAGGAATATTTTTTGTATAGCTCTAGGACAAAATTTCCCTGATGAGCCTCTGTGTGTTTTGATCCAGTTACTAATAATATGTATCAGGGCCCGTTGCATAAAGACTTACTATTATGGTAACTACCATAGAAACCTTGATTTCGATTGGCTGCTGAGCCCGGTTACCATGGTAGTTACCATAATGGCAAAGTTACCATAATAGTAAGTCTTTATGCAACGGGCCCCTGGTGTCATTTTCAAAATGTAGATTGTTCTCTGCACAGGGGATATTATTTATAAACATTAAAGATTTAAATGTCACAATCTTTGAAAATGTGTCATTGACCTGAAATTTTATTTCTTTACATGTAGGCATTTCTGAAATCTCCCTCAAAAAACTTGTGGAGCCCGAGAAGGATCTCCAGAGACCACGTACCAGGAAGGAAGTGATGGAGGCCAAACAGTTCGTGATGAAGGCAGCAACCCACTTCCAGAGCTCCCATGTCCTTCCAGTCCTCGCAGTAGATGGCCCTTCTGGAACAGCTTACCAGCTCCTAGGAGGGGTGTGCTATGCTCTTGCAGCTAAGGATCTTGTTGACGATGAAAGGTATTTTATTCTATAAAAGTTACCCGTTTTTTGCAATTGCTTTTTAATGTTATTTTTGTTTCTTTTGTAGTTACAGTGTATGAGACAAAGGTTAAATTTTTAAAGGGATTATGTGATGTACTTACCGATATTATATGTACAGAACATATTCATTTATCACTTGTTTTTTTTTTCTCCATTTATTATGCAGTCCACAAATATGTAGTGGAAGCATGTAACATAAAAGAAATGCTACCCAGGTAGTCAATGTACCATTTGGGAAGAAAATGGTAATAGAGAGGTGTTCCATTTATAGTTATACAATGAAGGGTATATTAAGGACAATACAAAATATTTTTAGATCCCTGACTCAAATAAAATCCCATAGAATATTTCCCTTGTGTACCATGTTCATATTTGTTTTCTTAAAAAGTGTGTGACTGCATGGAAAGGTATACCGTGTAAGCTTTTTTCCAATATTTTATTCTGCATGATACATATATACACCATGTTTCTATATCCTACCCATCTCAATATCCTATAACCAATATACTTTTTCTGATTGCTTTAGATATGAACATCTATCTCGTGGATGGCGCTGCAGGGTGTACCAAAACCTGGACAAGGTTGAGGCATTGAGAGTGGCATCACTGCATAGGTGTGGGCAACCTGCTGTAGACAAGCCGTGCTTGCAGGAGGAGGTTGCTGTCTGCAGGTCAATTCTATACGATGACAACAACCTTGATGTGGAGGATGAGCCCTGCACTATGACTGCCTCGACAAGACGCAAGTGTTCCCTAGCCCTTGGGAAAAATGGCTCCTTCAATGTAAGTCTAAACACTAGAGCTGACATTTTCATCTAGATAAAATGCTGAATTCATTCAATGTTCTATTTTTACTTGTAGCGAAGTAGGTTTTTTTTTTAATGAAACGATGAATCGGACATTAAATTAGATTTATGTTCAGCATAAAAACTCATGAACATCACCCAACCCCCCAATAAAAAGGTTATTGTTATATTCAGCCAACTTACATGTACATGACAAAATGGAGTTTAATCAATGATTGATTTGAGATGATCGAGCTTTCAAGAGTGACTGTTGGAAACATAAATTTTAGCCAAAAAGTTCTAACATTTCTTATATTTTAACTTGAGGGGTCATATTACAATATGGTGAATTATGTAATGCAATGGTGATTGCAGTGAATGAATTGGAATGTTCAGAATCAAACTGGTTATGAGAGCATATATTATCCATTTCTTTTTTTGTTGTAATTTACAGGCACTGAGGGCTCTCGAGCCAACTTTCCAGTTGGCTAGTTATTCAAACAGATGCTACAGGAAAGCCACTCTCCTTTTCGATGCAACTAGAGAATCTACTGGAAAGGATTTGAAACAATGTGTAAGTAAGCTTTAAATTTTTTTTTTTTTTTTTTACACATTTAAATATCATCTTGAGTAATGAAGGAAAGCATTTTTTTTTCTTCATAGAATCGAACAAAACTTGACTTGCGAATGTTCAAAACACCAAATAAATTATAACTTTTTGGTAGAAAATGTATATTATTGCTGAGTAATGAGCTATATGAAAAATACAAAATTGAGCTGGACTGGATGTCACACATACCACATGTTTTCTGTGCAAATGAGAATTGTGGTTTATTCAGCCGCTATAAGGAGTTTATCAAATCATCACAACCAAAGTAAATAAAGTAATATAGCGCCACCATTGGCGGATACCCTATTCTGACTGGAGGGGGGGGGGGGGGGGTTCAATTTCCTGTTCAAAATCTGTGACTGATGCGCAATGGCTGCAAATAGCGACACGGCTTCCGGTGACTTTTTCTGACTTTTTTTGTTTGTCTCGCAACTTTTGAGACCGAGTTCTAAAAATTAACAATAAAATCAACTTTTTGCATAGGTACGTTCGTGTACAAAATACTGCTTTTCCTAAATTGCTTTACAACACTGTTAATTGTGCCTTCTAGTCTTTTTGCCTGACCATACTTGTCTTGAAACTTTTCAAGATACACTTTTGAAACATGAAAAAAATCACATATATAAATGAAAACAATAGATACATAAGTAGTTTATGAAACAATAGAATACAAAAGAATTGATCGGAAATTTCATTATTTATTATTTCAGTATTGTTGCCTATGCTATTCAGCAACTTTAAAAAAGAGATTGAGCTTCATAACTTAATGAAATATTAATGAATATGTTAAAATAGGTATCTAATTTGCATAAATTATAATAAAGTAACAAATTTGTGATAAAAACAAATCTGTATTGACGTCCTTGCAATATTTCGCATTAAGCTTGCACTCAAAGTGAGAATAGGGTTAAAGCAATAGTTTTTTACATATTCAAATCAAACAATAGATGAATTGGGGATTCTTTGCAGAAGAATTGACTTTGATTGAAAAAGTTGATAGTTCATATATATGCAAATAAAATTTGTCTTCTGACAGTGAGCAACAATACTTCACGTGCACTAATAACTACTCTTATTATTTTCATTTGTCTTATTTTATAGTGTTTCATGAAGCTACAAGGACTCTCAGAAGAGGAGCGATATTCACTTCTTCTGGAGGCGACCTTGTCTTTGAATGTTAAAAAGATGAAGGCGGATGCCGATGAACTGAAGGCAATGAAGAGTCTGAAGAGCGTGTTTGCTAAGGGAGTTGGGGCTAAGACGTGGGAAGAGGCGATAGAAAGATACCCAACCTTCACTTCAGAAGCAGCCCTGGAACCCTATGTTGGTATGCACAAATCATGGCTTCGTATAATGTCTATTGAAGAGAATATTGAGCCCCAGCAAGATATACAATAATTGCTATCCTGTATCTCCATCAATCCAAATTTTAAAGTTTAGATGAACTAGTAGGGTTGACTATTCTGACTGGGGGGGGGGGGGTCAATTTGGCCCCTGCCTCCCCCGTACACAATCCAGGACTGCCACGTAACCGCTACAAATCACAACCTGCCTTTCAATGACTTTATTGTCTCGCAACTTTTGAGACCAAATTTGCCCCAAAATTGGGACAGTCCATGCTAGAGGTTATGCAACATTACTTAACCACACGTCTAGCCACAATTGACATTTTGCATAGTACGTTTGTGTACAAAATACTGCCTTTTCTAAATTGTTCTATAAAACATGTCAAGTTCAAATGTGGGTCAAAGGCAACAGGTCAAAAGGAAAACAGACTTTCCTTGGGATTCCATTATTGCTAAAGAGTAAACTACCAGAACCCAAAATTCACCTCCTGATCTGCTTATAGGGCCTAAGATGCAGGCAAGACAACGCTTGGCGTTTGCCTTGTTTAATGATATATTATTGAATGTGTTAAAATAGGAATTTAATTTGCATGAATTATAATAAAGTAATAAATGAGTGATTTTTGTAAAAAACAAACATCAAAGCAACATTTCTTTGCATGTGCATTGCTGTCCATGCAAAATTTCCCATCAATCAGACCTTCTGTGGCCAAGATATTGTGGGGGGAGGGGGGGGGGGGGTCAAATTGACTCCGGAGCTCTATGATCAATGTATATGTATTTTTTTTCAGGTAAAAAGTATACAAAAGGTAACATCCCAGAGGTCTTCCTGGAGCACATCAGCAGGGCCAAGAGAGACATGGACATGAATGCAGACGACATCCCAGCCCTTATGATACAAGAACTAGAAGAGGTATTGTCCCATATTCTTAAGGTTCCAAAGCACTTATTTGTAGGCACTTGGTAATTGAAAGAGGTAAACTGAATTTCACATAAAACAAATCTCAAAATTGTGAGTTTAAAATATCTCAAAGTTGTAATATTGTAATCTATAAGGAACTCAAGGTTAAGGGATTTACATGGAGAATGATCTTATGCTGATGAAAAATCATTGGTAATTTGTCATTGATAACAAAAAAAAAACAATTATATTCATGGCATAGAAATTGCAATTTTCCCACAAGTCATATATTACGTACAATGGCACTGTCGCCCAGACGACTGGCATGGAAAAGTGCACCCACATGCTATTTCATCCTATTTTCAAATTTGATTTTTCTATTTTGATTCAACATAGCAAATGTTAAGCTGCAGATAATTATGAAAAGGGTATAAATAAAAAAAAACAGTTTCCAGAACTTTGCATTGTGTATATTATCTGGGCTCAACATATTAGAATTATAGTTAATTTGTATGTTCTTTCCTTTTTATTTGAATTTCTGATATTACAGGATATCCAGTTATCCTCAACACCATCGGCTACTACCAGAATCTTCCTGACAAAGGACATCACAGCGATATCCAAAGTGGTCAGCCAACATACCCGACACGATGTGCATATATTGCATATTGTCCAGTCCCCAGTAGGAGATATTCAAGGTAACTATGCATGTTCCATGTCTTTTATTAAATATCTTATGAAGCTGACTGTTATTTCGGTATTCAAAGCAACATAACAAACGTTTTTGTGGTTGTGTAATAATGAGATAGCTGCAGTGTGTGTTAAAAAAATATAAATTATTAAGAAAGAATGTTACCGTATAACTTCCAGTGTGTTAGATTGGCTGCTCGATCTGAATGAAAATTCTTTCTTAAGAAATCCTCCTATGAAGCTCAACATTCATATAAATTTTTGTTTATATCACTTGGATTTTAAATATAATCTTGAGTTCTGGTAATGACAGAAATTAATTTCTGACAGAATCCAATGACATTTACAATGAATGTTCAAAACTTCAAAAAATAATGATTACTGAATGCTTTTGGGGGAAAAAAACATATAATAGCTGACTAATGCTGAACAAATGAAGATAAGATGCTTGCCATGTGATCTCAAACACATTACCTCCAAAGCAAGCTAATTATATTAATTAGACAACTGCGGAGTAATTGTGAAACAAATGCATTTCTAATGTCTGGGTTTTTATTCCTAAAGAAAAAGGTGCATTCAGAACTCAAAAAATCACATTGTATCTGTTTGAAAAGAAATTGTGCCTCATGTGAAAAATCACATGTATGTATATTCGTTTTACTTCTATAGGAAATTAAGGCTTATTCGTACTGTTCTAAGTAGCCATATAAAATGTGCATATATATTTTATCAACAGATGTCAACCATAATGTCTGTATGCAGTATGGTATTGTCGAGTCTAGGAGGAGGGGTGCTGGCACTAGCCAACTCTACATGCCATCAAGATCAGACTTCTACAAATATGCAGTGGAGCATTTCACTTCTATTGATGAAGTGGTTCTTGACGTTGGAGACGGTAAGACATTTTATCTATATACAGATCCAATTAAATTATGATACAGTTTTAGAATAAATGGGTAGATTAAATATATAGAGATACCAATAAAGCAACATGAATACAAAAATAAAATAAAATGTAAGGAAAGGAAAGTTGTGAAATAACGTCCAAATTGTGTAAATTCAAATTGGCTTTTTTCAATTCAAGTATATTTACCTATTTTTCACTATCCATAAATTCTAGACGCATAATAACTGACATTAATAGCATCAAAGTTGCCCAGTGTTGCACAACAAAGATTTTAGTCACGAGATTTGGGGTCGTGCAAAATCATGGTCAATATCAATAAGCAACCCTGTGCCTTGTCGGAAATTTGTGTTAACCCTAACTTTACCGGAAAGGTCTCAGATGGCGCCCCCCCCCCCCCCCAGACAAATTTTGTTGTCAAACCCATTGCATTTTCAGCAATAGCTAGCGCTTCATGATTTTTTTTCAAGTGTTATAAATCTTATGACACTGAGGTGTTGAAAATCAGACCTTTCATGATAAAAGGTCGAGCCGATTTTTTTTTTTTTTTTTTTTTTTTTTTTTCTTCCAGTTTTCCAGTAGAATGCAAAAAAAAAAAATGTTCATAAAACATTGAAATACATAAGAATTGAAAAATATGCAAAAAAAAGGCATATAAAAACTGTTTGAGAAGAAATGAACTGTGTAAAAGCTTAAAGACTTGAGATGACATTGTGAGCATATAATTTAAAAAAAATCCAAGTCAAGAGAGATATAGAGAGCTTTATATCTTCTCAAAAACTCTGAAACCAAAAACAATTTGGAATGAAACATTTTAGATAGGTTACAAACAGAGATTTTTTATATATATTCTCACCAGGAGAGAAATTAAAACGGTGGTTATTAGAACCGATCGTTAGATATATTGTTTTTAAACAATGGCTCACATATTCACTATTTAAAAATACTTTCCATAGATATTACAATTTGAGACATTCAGATTGGTCTATTTAAACTATAACTCATATGTGTATACCATTTTCGAGAAATAAAATCAGATTTTAAAAATTCTAACAAGAAAATTGAAACGTCAGTGCCAAATTTGGTTACTTAAGGGGTAGGCTCTGAGGCCCCCCCCCCCCCCTCCAGTCTTACAAATTTCAAAATAGCCCCATTCAGTAAGGGTTTATGCTTTTTTTTTTTTTTTTTTTTTATTGATAATGTAAAAGTATTATTTTAGTAAGACAACCAAAAATTTAAAAAAGGGGGTTTATCATTTAAGTAGAAATGTATTGATAAAGAGATGTTGAGCAAATTTAACTCGAAAACCAGCTTTGAAAATCAAAGACAGACTGAACTTTACTAAAGCATTCCATATTGAACTTACCAAAGTAAAATACAAAAATGAACAATATGTAATGCATTTGGTATGGAATTAGGTGCTCGTTTGCTGTGGTTAAAGCCCTTTACCTAGTGTTGCGTCTAATAACTTGGTTCTTCACAAGCTTCACCAGACAAACAAAATTAAATATTCTTTTCTCTATTATATTTTCAGGACTGCTGGCAAGGGTTGCAGCAGAATGTGGACGAAATGGGAGGATGGTAGAGGAGACAACACTGTCCAGCACAGAAATAGAGGCCATGATGGGTGCTGCAGACTCGGAGGAGATTCTAGATGCAGATCTAGTATTAAGCATGGACCAGACGTGTTCTATACCTTAGTGCATTTTGTTTCTCTCATTTCCTCACCTCGATCACTACCTCATTTAGTTCTGAAAAATCTTGTTAAGATATGTGACAAACTAACGTTTTTATGTAAATATTTTTATACAGATATGGCTGGTAGGGTGTTTATATATCATTCTTTTGGCCGCTGGAGTTGTATTTTCATGAGGGAAAATAAAACTCCTTTAGGTAGGCTAAAGAATATGTATTACATACATAACAGGAAATATCTATTATAATATTAGATAACCTTGATTAAGACCAAGTCATGGTTTTTACATGAAAGTCTGAACACGAACAGTTTAATAGAGTCTGATCTACAGTAGATATCCATTGTCTTCGCCTTTCTTCTCTGTGCTTAGCTGTTATTAACGAATATTGTTGATACATGAATACATTGTCTTAGCTCAAGCGCGTATGCTCCTACTGTTATCGTTGACCAGCTGGTCAATATAACCATCCAGATGACCGGGCGTGAACTGTTAACAATAAATTGCAGTCCCCATATCACTTGACATGCTGTGGACCAATCACACCTTAGCAACTCTCTGAGCTATCTAATACAAGTATTTAAGTCTATGTGTAGATGTTTTTAGTTTAGTAGATAGGTGGCTGGACTACCGATCATTAGGTACATGTATGTGGTTCAAATCTCGGCCACTTCACTAAGGTCTAGCTTTGGCAAGACCTTAACATACATTTACTACACTCAAACTATGTTGTACCAAAATATGTAGCCTAGTTAAGGTCAGGTAACATACATGCAGGAGCACCTTGCTATATAGATGAGCGCTATACTAGAGTGCAATATTATTATTATTATCTTTTATTAGAGCATATTTTTGTCTTGCCAAGTGAACTTGATTACTTTGAAGGTAATTTCAAAGGCACAGGGTTGGTGAACGTGACTCGTCACCTTATTTATTTTTCTAAAGCATCAACACAAAAACCCACATATTATTATTTTATCAAGGATAAAAACTCGGGTCACAACTATTGGGCCCTTGATTTTGTTACCATCTTGTCAAAATGAAACACTCGATCTAACTCATTTCCAAGCATCAGAAGACGGTTGTTGATATCAATGATGTAGTTGGAAGATCATATACTTCAAAGTTATAATCAAGGAATTATCAGAGCTGGAGTCCAAACTGAGGATAATTTATGCAAACATCTGGCAGATTCCAAAGGATAGTCAATAGAATTATTAAACTGCCTTGGTTCTTTGATATTTGATGCGCGATGCCACCAAAGTAAAAGAAAACATTTTAGAGAGGATGTGAACTTTTTGGGTTTTTGTTTGCACAGTTGATTTATTATATCAATAAACATAGAAAACAAATAGGCAATTGTTTAGTAATTATGTACGATGCCACTCTGAAAATCCCATTCCTCAACAAGCAAGATTTCTTGAGATATTGCCTTAAGAGTGTAATAAATATGTACTGCTTCAAGTACAATATTGATCCCTTGCTGATTGCTTTTCTGATTTTCATATTTTATATGGTACTATCAAGAAAATATTTCTATTAAATTAAATCAACCAGAGTAAAGTCCACATGTGTCCACTCATGGAATTAGCAACTTTAAATCTTGTATTTTTGGACGTGTATCTGTTTGCTTACACCTGGTTATACCATTCATGAGCACTTTCTGTGTAACCAATTATCATTATATTGAATACCTTTAATTGCATATGTGCATCCTCTGTAGCAATACTGGCCGCGGGTGTTTCATCGTTAGTTCTTTTGAATCAATGTGCATGTATTCGGAGAGCGCATATATATTTGTCGTGGTTGTTGTGGCATTGAGCCTACTTCAGAGGAAATTGTTAAGCTTTTACTCCAGCTGTAATTACTCCTTGTTATTATATTAAAGTTTCACATCACTTTAAGAGGGTCAATTTGTAGGATCACTGTGTAAGTTTATACGTATGTTTATATGTATAAGTTTATACATGGCACGCACCCTCCAAATCCATGTATAAACTTATACGTTTTGGATGGTCTGTACGATGTATAAATTTATACGTTTTGGATGGTCTGTACGATGTATAAATTTATACGTTTTGGATGGTCTGTACGATGTATAAATTTATACGTTTTGGATGGTCTGTACAATGTATAAATTTATACGTTTTGGATGGTCTGTACGATGTATAAATTTATACGTTTTGGATGGTCTGTACGATGTATAAATTTATACGTTTTGGATGGTCTGCACAATGTATAAATTTATACGTTTTGGATGGTCTGTACGATGTATAAATTTATACGTTTTGGATGGTCTGTACGATGTATAAATTTATACGTTTTGGATGGTCAGTACGATGTATAAACTTATACGTTTTGGATGGTCTGTACGATGTATAAATTTATACGTTTTGGATGGTCTGTACGATGTATAAACTTATACGTTTTGGATGGTCAGTACAATGTATAAATTTATACGTTTTGGATGGTCTGTACGATGTATAAATTTATACGTTTTTGGATGGTCTGTACGATGTATAAACTTATACGTTTTTAAAGGGTCCATGTCATGTATAAAGTTATACGTCAGAACAAACAGCATGATATACATTTGTATATTTTGCAAGTTGTGTTATTTATAAAAGTGATTGACAACCTATTTTGTGTAAATAATTATTTATTTGTTATCAGTGCATTTATTTGTATTGCCAAATAAAGAAACATGGATTACATTTCAACTGCAAAAAGCATCATTAATTAATTATTTAAGTGTATTGTGTTAATGTTTGTATAAATGCGATGTCTTTCTACTACTGCATGAGAAAGAGAGAATTTACTTTTAGTGATTTCATAAATACTTTAATGAGGAAAGCGAAGGAGTGAAAATGAGAAAGTTAAATATACAGCGAAAATGTCATATAAAGTGTGATGGAGGTGATAGTTGGCTATACCATGAGAAAAGCAAAGCAGTGGAGGCTATAAGCCCTATAAATGAGAGAGTTCTCAAATTATAAGGATTTGGCATGTAATTTGATTTGAATCTGGATTACCCAAGTCCAGATTGAAATAATTCTCTGTTAAACGTGGACTTCGCGAAGGTAAAGGTTATTTTGAGAAGCTATAAATGACAGCTTTTCTTGGGGTACTTTAAACGATTGATGAATTGAGTTGGGCATTGATTTGGCAACCAAACAATTAAGAAGTGGAACAAGTTCAATTACACCGGGGGGGGGGGGGTCGGGAGGGTGGCTGAACTGAAGACTCTTTCCCGAGTGTCAGCTTCGATTTTATTTGTTTAAATCTTGAGAGCGAGCGAATTTGTTGACACCTTTAAAAAAAAAAATGATAATAGAAATAGATAACTCGCTGCCCGAATATGAAGTGACTTCTGCCTTTATTTAAAATATGAATGGGGAATGCACCTTCCTGCTGCCCCACCAGACACCTACGTCTATAGGTCTATAACAAAAATACTTTATCCACCTTGACCATCACTAATTTGTGAAAAAGCTACCTCCAGGACAACTTCCCCCCGAAACTATTATAAACCCCCTATATACAACCCAAGAAAACTATCCCTTAGGGAAATCACCCCAGATGCACTATAGAACAACTAAGACAGTTACCCACAGGACAACTACTTCGGGCAACTATTTATATAGGATAAATACCCGTAGGACAAATTAAAACCGGACAACTATCCTTGATCGGATGGTGTCCTCTAGGACTATTACCGCCGGATAACTAATCAAGGAGAACTACAAGGGTTGAATTAATAAGGGTTACATGAGATGAGATATCCCCCGCAAGGAAGGTATACAAATATGTCATCTTACCCTACTTTTCACTCTCCAGCTTTACCGTGTCTTCACCACCACAATGCCTGGCTTTTTTTATTTGCACACGGCATCCACTCACATCCTATTATTGCCTTAACTTCATCCTGGACAGCTATCATCCAAGCTTTTTAGATTCAAGACTAACTGTCCAAATATGAGGGGCGGTTGCCTGAATATTGGTCATTTCGAAATTACTGGGGTGCAACCCCCTCAGCCCCCTCCCGCTTCTCCCCTCTCCCCGTCTCATATGCCTATTGTGCATATAAGATGGGCTATCCCTTGCAAGGAGATGACCATATCTTATCAGGTGATTAGGTAAAGGTCACGACGATGTCCAGTAATCTCCAAGAGATTTAACAAATCTGGGCTATTCCAACCACATAACTTACACCGACAAGACGATGCTATATATACCCACATAAATCTCCATCTAATTCCAGTCACGATGTAGAAAACCTAAAATAAGTCCAAAAAGTCCGTACTCCCGTACGCCCCCCCCCCCCCCCCCCACCCGCCGGACCAACGTACAGTGCCCAATAGTCATTGTCCAAAACAAAGATAATTAGCGTATTACAAAAAGCATCATAAGAAAATTCACTCAAGGCACAAAAACGATTTATATGGATGATTTATACAGACTTGAGCCTTTGCTCGAAATTACCCCCTTTACCCCCCCCCCCCCCCCACCCCTCCACATCTCTGTCACAACAAATTAGGTCGGTAAAAGAAGAGATATGCAGCAGTACGTTAATTTTTGTCATTCCTGGTTATTGTGATCTTTACTTTGCACTCAATTATCTACGTTACATTATAATTTTGAAATTTGTTATCCAATGTTATACCCAAAAGTGAGAATGATCTATGCATAATGATCCTATTTGTTCGGATTTTAATCAATACAATTTGAATTTAATTGAATATATGGATAGTCCATTTGGATAAGAGCTCTAGACATTGCCAACTTAATTGGTGTGTGTCATTGCCAATTCAAAGAAATATTTCACCGGTGGGTGAGAGGGGGGGGGGGGGGGGCGTCACTAAAGACCTTTGTCCGAGTGTCAGCTTTCAATTTTCTAAATTCTGCGGATGATCAATTTTGTTGACATATTTTGTTTAAAATAACAATGGAAATGGATCAAGGGGCGCTAAAGAATCTTTCGTGTGTGTCTACACCCCTTACTACATCCCTAACTGCACCACTGGGTGAGACTGCGTCGTTCAACCCCTATAATCTCAGGAGAAAAGCAAAATATCTAAAAGTGCGAAAGTCACGTCTATGTAAATTATGATCAAGTTTTTTTGTCCCCACGATTCTTCTCGCCTCTGACGCATCGCACCATGTGCTTTTAATTTAAATCCCAAGGTCAGAGAAAGACTGTCGCGTTCAATTAGGTAGGAGGGCTGTAGGGTGTTACATATTATAGCAAGATCGCAAAGGCTTTCCAGAAATCAACAATACCCTATGTTATGTTTTGTCCCATAGAAGTATGTTCGGAGTGCCAATATGTCTTTGTCATGTTCGTACATTTGAGACTGTCGCGGTCAATTAGGTAGGAAGACTGTAGGGCGTTACGTATTACAGCAAGATCGCAACGACTTTCGAGAAATCAAAAATATCCTATGGTATAGTGTGTCCCATAGAAATAATCATGTTCGGAATGCTAATATGTCTTTGTCATGTTCGTACATTTGAGACTGTCGCGTTTAATTAGGTAGGAGGGCTGTGGGGTGTTACATATTATAACAAGATCGCAACGACTTTCGAGAAATCAAAAATATCCTATGGTATAGTGTGTCCCATAGAAATAATCATGTTCGGAATGCTAATATGTCTTTGTCATGTTCGTACAATTGAGACTGTCGCGTTTAATTAGGTAGGAGGGCTGTAGGGTGTTACATATTATAGCAAGATCGCAACAACTTTCGAGAAATCAACAATACCCTATGGTATATCTATATAAATATGTTTGGAATGCCACTATGTCTTTGTCATGTTCGTACATTTGAGGATTTAGGGTGTTACATAATATTATAGCAAGATCGCAAAGAATTTCGAGAAATCAACAATACCCTATGGTATGTTGTGTCCCATAGAAATATGTTCGGAATGCTAATATGTCACTGACAATGTTCGTTGATGTCAATAGGTGATGGACAAGGCCTTTGAAAATACCTCAAGTAGATTTTTCGAAAGTCTTTGCGATCGTGTAATATAATGTTTCGTCCAATTACTCAAGTATTATTTAGCAATTGTATTAGCAACTTTCGACCCACCCGTTTCAAGGTGCCTCCCTAAAGTGTTTTTGTTTCTAAGATGCTCTATATCACATCCTTTAGTTGGCGCCCCGCCGGTGCCCCCAACATAAAGCAGGGTCCATAAAAGGCACTTATTTAATTTATTTTAGAATGAGATTAACCGCCATTACCCAAACATGTACCCTACCCACAGAAAAATATCTTGAAACGCCACTTTCCTATATAAAAAGTAAAATAAAAACAAAACATTTTTTTTAAAAGAAATTGTAAGAAATTGCAAATTTCTCTATAACAAAATTCATAATATTTAGAAATGATTTGAATGAAAGAATATAGTACGACTCTGTTGCAAGGTTCATGTAATTTTGTGAAAAGAAGAAATGTACTCCTTCATAGCAGAAACTAATTGATGGGCCTAATATACCGAATAACAACGCATGTGTATGGTATATAACTTTCTTTACATGTCTTTAAAACGTTAAAGCAAGCAGAAAGACATGAAAGACAAAAAGAAAACCAACGATTTCTGTACAGTTTGTAGCTTGTAATAAATAGGCCCATGAATAATGTGAATAAGGAATTTGCCAGATAACAACAAAAAGCCTTCAGAAAAGAACAATGGTTCATGTTTATGCATTTACTAATCCTGACACGAAACGAAATTTCATATTCTTAGTAGTGATAAACTTTTGAGAAAAAAAATAATGTAACGAATTGTGCACAATTATTTTACCTTAAACTTTATTTAAAGACATTATTAGTGTGAAATGTATAAGCCCAGAGACAATATTGACGCAACTT